ACCTTATTAATATTTCACTGTTTCCAGTTCTCAAAAATTTAAATATCTCATTTAGCTTCATTTTTCATTCATCTTGCTTATGGCAAATGTGGATTTATGTCACTGAGTGCACACACATTTTTGAGGATTTGAAATGCTCTTGAAGTTTTTTCCATATTTCAGCACAGCATTCTTATCTACATTCTTATCTAGATAGATAAGCTTGTATGCAAATAAATTGGTTTCTACTAAAGGGCTCCAATCCATCCATTAATCATGGGATAACTATATACTTCCAGTTTTCAAGAAAATGCCTATAAATATCTATCCATCAATAAGTATTCACTGCACGCCAGCTATATCCAAGGAACATGTTGGGAGCTGTGGAAATACAAGGAAGGAAAAGTCATTAGCCCTATCCTCAAGAAGTCTGCCAGTTGAAGAAAGGAGGAACATTTGCATATGAAGATGGATGGCTGTTTAAGAGAGCACATGGTAAGTGCTAAGTGACCAGGCACAGTATCCAATCATAATGACATATTTAGTAGAATGTAGACATGTAGGTAAAGAAATCCCTGAGGACTAAGGTGATTCAAACATCGTTTTAGAGGAGAGGACTTAAGCCAAGGATTAAGGGATGACTAAGAGTTAAAAAAAAAAGGGGGAGAGAAAGGCATGAACAAAGGTGAAGAGGGATTTTTAGTGGACAATGGGAGGTCTACCCTGCAAAGCAGAGCTAGTTTAAGAAACACTGTGGGACAGTTAGCACAAGTATTGAGACTCTTCAAGACCAACTAAAGAATTTCAGCTTTATAAGTGACATGGAATAGGGGTTTTTGAAAAATGCTTTGACATGAGTAAAGTGGCATTTTATTTTATTTTATTTTATTTATGTATTTATTTTGAGACAGAGTCTCACCCTGTCACCCAGGCTGGAGTGCTGTGGTGCGATCTCAGCTCACTGCAGCCTCTGCCTCCCAGATTCAAGCTATTCTCCTGCCTCAGCATCCCAAGTAGCTGGGATTACAGATGCCCCACCACCATTCCCAGCTAATTTTTTTGTATTTTTAGTAGAGATGGGGTTTCACCATGTTGGCCAGGGTGGCCTCCAACTCATGAACTCAAGTGAGCCACCTACCTCAGCCTCCCAAAGTGCTGGGATTACAGGTGTGAGCCACTTCACCCAGTCATAAAGTGGTATTTTAAAAATTTTTCTAGATTTGGGGCCCATGCAGTCTCCTATGGCTGAATCATCTGTGGATATAGGTATCTATGATTCCCTTCTCTCCAATTTTCAAGAATTTTGTGGTCCATTTGCCTATGTTTACAGCATCTTTGGTTCATATAATCACTCAGATTTGAGTTCATCTTTCCAAGACAGGAGAAGACTAAGGTAGCAGACATGAGATTTGCTACAAACTAAATCCATCTTGTGCTCAGACCACGTGACCCAGGGCTCCTTATAAACAGGATTCTAATAACTCCTGAGGCCTGAAACCTCTCTAACAGAGACATCACCAACTCTCTTCCTTTAAGAAAGACTTACAGAAATAGAGAAGCATTGCATTTTTCTTTTTTACTCATAGTAAAACTATTTTATTGTATTTTTCTGATTATATAAATAATACCTGCTTACTGTCAAAAACTCAAATAACCAAAGTGTAAGGAAGTAATCACTCGGAATTCCAACCTTCCTAAAAGAAACTCCATTAATATTTTTGAGACCCTCTTTTAGGCATCTTATTCGGTATGTATATATACACACATATATTTTATTTTATTGATTTTTTTCTACTGCCTATATAGTTGCAGAAACACATATTTTATAATTTTAGTTATGGTATTAGTAATGTGTTGGTAATGTGAATATCATAGTATTTAGTAATTTTGGTTTTTTTTCCAACTTTTCCTTCTCCTTATTCCCTCTCTTACCACACCCAGATTCATATACCTAATATATATCTTCCTTAATTTTATGCTCTTATAAACACAGAAATCATAAACATACATGGGAGATTATTTCATTATTATTGTTAGATTTACAAAAGCAACATTCATTACATGTGCTTTGCATTGTGTGTTGGCCACAAAGTTATGCACCATGAAAATGACTCCAAGTGATACTTAAGTAATTCTCTTTATTATTTCATGAAGAAAGAATATATTTATTGAGTTACAATGTACCAGGCACTGTTCCCAAATATATTACATGTATTATTTCATTTAATTCTCACAAAACTTCATGAGATTGGTGTCATTATTGTCCTCGTTTTATAAATGAGGAAACTAAGACATAGAGGCTAAACACCTTTCCCAGGACCATTCATTCTATGTTTAAGATGAACATTGAAATGGATTAAGGGAGGAAGATCCAAGATGGCTGTTTAGGAACAGCTCAGGATTGCAGCTCCCAGTGAAAGCGCAGAGGGTGAGTGGACGCCGCAATTCCAGAGGGATTTTTATTGCCCACAGACCAGAAGATTCCCAGATGGAGGAGCCCCACCAGTCGCCAGCACGGCTATTTTGGCCGGTGTGGCTGCTTTGCTGGTGCCCTGGTGCGGCAGTTCTCCATACAAAATACAACGGTCTAGGTGCCCTTTTAGCTGGCAATTGGAGCCCTGGGAAGGCACAGTCACCCATTCATCTGATTAAAAAGGGGATTGAAACAGGGAGCCAGGCCAGGAGATTCCTGGGCAAAAAAAGTGCCACAAATCTCAGCACCGCTGTTTCAGCCAGGCGCAGTGAGTCGCCGCAGGGGAAATCACACAGGTCCCCGTGCCTTTTCAACAGGCGACTGGAACACCTGGGAGAGAGTCGACTATTCAACTAAAACAAAGGCTCTGAGGCAGGGAGCCAAGTGATCAGGCTCGGCTGGTCCCACCCCCACAAAAAAAACAGCAATTGGAAATGCTCTGGGTTGAGAGTTTCACAGCAAGCACAGCTGAACCCAGGAAGGTCCAGCTCTGTAGAGGAGGGGAGTCCGCCATTGCTGAGGCACTCCACCACTACAGAGGTAGTCCGCCATCACTAAGGCAGCCCACCATTGCCGAGGCAACCCGCCATTGCCAAGGCAACCTGCCATTACAGAGGGAGTCCGCCATTACAAAGGTGGGCCACCATTGCCGAGGCAGTTCTAACTACACCCATATAAAAAGGACTGCAGGGAAGTTCACACAGCAGCTGGGTGGAGCCCACAGCACCTCAGCAAAGCCTCTGCAAGCAGACAGTGACTAGGCTCCTCCTCGCTGGGCAGGGCAGCCAGGAAAAAAGGCAGCAGCACAACAGAAACTCATAAATAAAGCCCTAACTCCCTGGGACAGAGTACCTGGGGGAAAAAAGGGGTTTATGACTTCTGCTGCAGCAGACCTAAACATACCTGCCCAGCAGCTCTGAATGAACAACGGAGCTCACAGCTCAGCATCTGAGTGCCTATAAAGGACAGACTGTCTCCCCAAGCAGCTCCCTGATCCCCATATATCCAAAGAGTCACCTTATAAAGGAGAGATCAGACTGACATTTGGCAGGTATCCTTCTGGGGCAAAGATAGCAGAAGAAGAAACTGGCAGCAACCCTTACTGTTCTGCAGCTGCTCCAGGTGATCCCCAGGCAAGCAGGGCCTGGAGTGGACCTCAGCAGTCCTACAGCAGAGGAGCCAGACTGTTAGCAGGAAAACTAAGAAACAGAAACAACTTCATCAACAAACTGGACGTCCACTCAGAGATCCAGTCTGAAAGTCAGCAACTACAAAGACGACCAGTGGATAAATCCACAAAGATGGGAAGAAACCAGCCCCACAAGGATGAAAACACCCGAAACCAGAACACCTCTCCTCCTACAAGGGATCACAACTCCTCACCAGCAAGGGAACAAGGCTGGATGGAGAATGAGTGTGATGAAATGACAGAATCAGGCTTCAGAAGATGGGTAATAAGAAACTTTTGTGAGCTAAAAGAACATGTTCTAACCCAATGCAAAGAAACTAACAACTAAGAAAAAAGATTTGTTGAAATGCTAACGAGAACGGACAACTTAGAGAGGAATATAAGTGAATTGATGGAGCTGAAAAACACAACACGAGAACTTCGTGAAGCATACACAAGTTTCAACAGCCGAATTGACCAAGCAGAAGAAAGGTTATCAGAGGTCGAAGATCAACTCAATGAAATAAAACGAGAAGGCAAGATTAGAGAAAAAAGGGTAAAAAGGAATGAACAAAGTCTCCAAGAAATGTGGGACTATGTGAAAAGACCTAATCTACGTTTGATAGGTGTACCTGAATGTGACAGAGAGAATGAATCCAAGCTGGAAAATACTTTTCAGGATATTATCCAGGAAAACTTCCCAACCTAGCAAGGCAGGCCAATATTCAAGTCCAGGAAATACAGAGAACACCACAAAGATATTCCTCAAGAAGAGCAAGCTCAAGGCACATAATCGTCAGATTCACCAGGGTTGAAACGAAGGAGAAAATGCTAAGGGCAGCCAGAGAGAAAGGTCGGGTTACCCACAAAGGAAAGCCCATCAGACTCACAGCAGATCTCTCAGCAGAAACTCTATAAGCCAGAAGAGAGTGGGGGCCAATATTCAACATCCTTAAAGAAAAGAACTTTCAACCCAGAATTTCATATCCAGCCAAACTAAGCTTCATAAGTGAAGGAAAAATAAAATCCTTTGCAAACAAGCAAGTACTCAGAGATTTCATCACCTAGGCTCTCATGTTTAATGTCTGCCCAGAGGAATAGATTTGCTTATAATATTAAGAACCAAAAGATGGATGGTGAGAGTTAAAAAAAAAAAATGGATTAAAGCCCAGGCTTCTGACACTAAAGCTATATCATTAACCACTGTTCCACAATGCTTAGCCCAACAGTGGTGGTACTCCCAATCAGCCTCTCACTAATGGGCATTCTCTTTGATTCTGGATTTCTGCCACCATAATACTGCTGCAATAAACATCCTGTCATACATCCTGACCTATGGGTGTTTTTATTTCTTTCATTCAACTAATATTTTCTGAATACCTCATCAGTGCCAGGGACTATTCTGGATGCTGGAGTTCCAGTGGTGAAGGAGACAGATGAGGTCCTTGTTTTCACAGAGCTCACACTCTGGTGGGAAGACAATAAGTGAATGAATTGATCAACAAATGAGCGAACAAATGTAGAATATGAAAAATAGGAGATAATGATAAGTCATACACAGCGGGTTAAAATAGGGTAATGCAATATAGACAGTCACTTGGTAATAGCTATAGACATTTTTAATATGATACAGACCTCCAAGTATGAGATTGATAGGTTGAAAGGATATATGCATTTTTAGTTTTAATAATTATTGCTACTTTGCTTTCCAAAAGCCTTAATAATTCTCATTTCAAACAACAACAGAAATACAGATTTTATTAGTATTTATTTTTCTTTTTGGGCACAGAGTCTTGCTCTGTTACTCAGACTGAAATCTGGTGGTGTGATCTCAGCTCACTGCAACCTCTGTCTCCTAGGTTCAAGCAATTCTCTTGCCTCAGCCTCCCAAGTAGCTGGGACTACAGGGGCACACCACCACACCCTGTTAATTTTTTGTATTTTAGTAGAAACAGGGTTTCACCCTGTTGGCCAGGCTGGTCTCAAACTCCTGAGCTCAGGCGATCCACCTGCCTTAGCCTCCAAAAGTGCTAGGATTACAAGCATTAGCCACTGCACCTGGCCAGAAATACAGATTTTTAAAATAAGCTTTTTTTATCTTCCTTCTGTGACACTAAGAGAACTTGAAAAGATTCTTCCTTCTCAATAACTATACTGACCTATTTCAAATTCAACATAAATGTATATCAGCTATAAGGTAAATCTCATTTTTTGTATGTGTATATATATATATGTCTACGAAATCAACAATGTGCATCTCGCAGAAGACTCAAAGAAATGTATGTGCTTGCTGCTGTTGGTAAGTAGTAGGGGTAGAGAATGGTCTTGTCTCATGTTCTTAATACAGACAGTGGAAGAGTTCATATTTCTTAAAGATATTTGATCACATTTATTTAAAAAAAAAAAAACCAGCAAGGAAGCAAGTCTAATAAGTTGAAAGGGACTCCTATAAAGAAAAATCTTGATAAACATGAAAAAGCAACCCTTGAGGGGCTGAAGTATTTTCAAGAGTAGCAATCAAAAGAATACCACAGAATCTACCATCCATAGCCTATGGAATTAGATTCTCCCAACACATCCCCTTTCCTTGTTTATAGACCTACCTAGTTATCACCAGTTCTCGAGGACTCTCATTATTTCAAGGACTCATAAATATGCAACAGGTATTTCATGAGAGAAAATGCAACGGAATAACTTCTAACTACCCTAAGAAAGAGACAGGAGAAGCGTCTGTCTGGCTCTCATCAGTCTCCTGACCCCTCCACCCATTCTAAGGAAAAGCAAGGAGGCAGCCCTCAGACCTGGCTTCTCTGCAGAATTCCCTGCCAAACCAGAGAGAGGGGATGACAGCAACCATATCTAAATCTAACCTCTCACTTAAAAGGTCTGCACGCTTATGTGTGCAGAAAGGCAGGGTTTTATTTTAACCATATTTCACAAGCAAAAGCAATGGAAAGAATTCCACGCCTAATCTTTGTTTTTCCTCCCTTGAAATTTGATCATCATATTCCTAACTTTAGTCATACTGCCTGGTTTCCTCTCCTTAATGGAGTGAAATTTATGTCTGTGATTAGAGAATTGGCTTGGGAAAACCATTTGCGTTTTAAAAGTCATATGTTTTAGGAATAATAGATATGGAAATCCTGGAAGAAACCCAGTGTGTTTTGGATGTTAATACAGACATCATAATGACTTGTTATTTCAATCCCCAGTTAGTGAGTAATGGGAATATTAAATTTATTGAGGATGGGGAGGAGGATGAAACACTGAATTGAAAATTTTCACAAAGAACATAGTGATAAATTTAGTTACAGCCTAGATGTATACCTTTTTGACTAAAATATCTGAGGATTATTTTGAAAATAAAGAATAAGGTAACAGTCATTAAAAAGTAGCTTTGCTGGAAGAGCATTTACTGTAAGTGTGATCCTTGAACTCTAGCATTCATAGTCACAGGAGAAACGGTAATCAGATGTTCCTTGCTTTATGCCATAGATATAGTCCTTAATTCAACCATAATGTATGAGGGAAAGTCACTAAAAATGAAGCAATGTGGTCAGTCCTTAAGGAGATAAGGGACAAGGCAACAAAATGACCTTCACCAAATCACAAACAGGCTAAATTCCCCCTGATTGGAGGCTGCAGGGAAGGAACAAGAGCTCCATCCTCATAGTTGCACAAAGCTGGGTATAAATCCCTCTATATTCTTGCTTTTTGGTTTAGAGCAAGTTACCTAATATTTCCAAGCTTCATCTGCAAAATGGGGTGTTATCAGTACTTCACTTCGAGGGGGTCATGAAGGTAAAATGAGATCATGCATGTAAAACAGGGAAGGCATTTATTTCATTTTGGTTCCCTCCTCCTTCCCACCCAGCTGTTAGGCTGGCTTTGAGATCACTGAATTGGAAGAAAGGAGCCCAACAGAAAAAGAAGAGTTGGATATGGGTAAAAATGAAGGGCTGCTTGGGAGTGGTCAGTACTGATTTGGCAGAAGAAAGAACCAAAGAGGTGCCACTCATACCTGAAGAATAACCTGCAGCCAGCCCTCCTCTCCAGGGAGAAAATGCTTTTTAATATGATTGCCTCCTAGTGCTTTGCATTTCTGAGTTTTTCTAATCAAGACATGCCCAGTCATTTATGTACCCACTGCAAGTAGCTTTGCCCTACTGTAATATATTGTTTATGTCACTCACTTCAATACTGTTCATTTAAATGTTAAAGGTCTGTGATAGTCTTTATCCAATAAAAGGTCAAAATATTTATTAATTTTTTAACAACATGATAGTTTCCAAAATATGATCCATGATATCCTAAGCATAACAAAAAAGAAAAACTGAATATATGACCCCAAGCAGTTCATGTAACATAAAAATGTTCGAATTCTCAAATATCACTATCACATAACATCTCTTTCTTATAGGAAAGTATATTTGAAAAGCCTAGATGTAGGTTACCCAGCAGGCTTTTTTTAGAGACAGAGTCTCACTCTGTCACCAGGCTGGAGTGCAGCAATGCACAATCATAGCTCACTGCAGCCTTGAACTCTAGGCTCAAGCAGTCCTCCCACCTCAGCCTCCCAAGCAGCTGAGACTGCAGGGACTTGCCACCATGCCTGGCTACATTTTATTTTTTGCAGAAATGTGGTCTCACAATGTTGCCCAAGCTGGTCTCAACCTCCTGGGCTCAAGCAATCCTCCCACTTTGGCCTCCCAAAGCACTGGAATTACAGGTGTCAGCCGCTGTGTCCAGCCTTAGGCCTGTTAATAAGTTAATGAAATTTAAAATACAGAATTTAAAAGTGTATGAAAGTATTTTCTCATTGAGAACTTTCATATCTTGTGCCTTCATTTGTCATTTCCATCAAAGTCTCAAGTGTCTTTGTTTGAGGTCCCTTTTCACAAAGGAACCAAATGTTGATCACTACACAAGAGTTACTCGCTGCATCTATCAGGATGTGTGAAGAACCATCACACTGAGGTCTCACCACTAAGGTAGTTTATTCACTGCACAAGAGCTTGCTCCCACACACAGGATGAAATTTCAGAGTTTTGGGCACTATGGATATTGCAAATTATAATATGATGGACCTTTAAGATGTCTCATGAACAGATGAAACTGCCAACATTATCTCTATAAATGTCAAAGGCCTAACATGATAGATCTAGGGAGTGGGATACAGTTAATCATGTCCCTAATCATACAGGAACTGGCAGGAAGTAAAACATGCTTTAAACCAATTTTAAGGCCACAATCTTTTGTAGGTAGATGTCTGTATTCTTTTGAACAGAGATGTATAATAGTCAGATATGTGTTGGGAGATCCATGTCCCTCCTTAAGAGATTTAATGATGAGAAAATTGTCTTAAGAATCTAAGTTGCCCAATTTCATTACACCATGGTGTGGACCATCACTGGACAAGGAAAATTTTTAAATTCATCTTTCTTTGCTCTCCTTTTCCCTGAAACCTACCTACAGAGTCAGCTAGGTGCTTAGTTTTATAGACAATTTGTCACAGGTTTTTGTTTGTTTGTTTGTTTGTTTTTTATAGCTAAAGACTACTGAAATATTTAAGACTTTTTTTTAGATAGGGTCTCACTATGTTGCCTAAGTTGGCACGCAGTAGCTATTCGTAGGAAGGATCATAGCAGCCTTGAACTCCTAGCCTCCAGTGATTCTCCTGCCTCAGCCTCCCAAGTAGCTGGGACCACAGGCTCACTCTGCACCTAGCTGAGACCCGTTTTTTAACTTCACATTGTAAAAAGCAAATAATTCATTCATGTAATTTTTAAAAAACCAATTAAGTACATAAACCATTATTCATGTGATACAAGTCCATATAACAAAAAAAGTCTCCTTGTTTAAAACCTTTAACCAGTTCTTTTGGCATTATATAGATACATACATAGTGGTTTCAAAGGGTACCAATCTTCAAATAAAAATATTTAAATAAGATTTCACACTAACATGGCTCTATCCTAACATTTCTTAAACAGATGCAGAAAAATTCCATTCTAATAAATTATCTGCTCCAGTCCCGCCAACATCCACGCCATCACTACCACCAGCCCCAAATTGCTTTATTGCAGTAGAATTATGTTATAATGTTAAATTGCTATAATTCGGTTTCCAGGCAAGAGGAAAAGCAGCATGTATAGTCAGTCTTTCAGAGGCACATTAGCAAATGAAAAGAACTATATTGTAGGAGAACTAAGGAAGCAGGACAAGGAACTTTGTGGGGAAAGAAGGAAGGGACTCCTACAGGCTATTTCCTCCTTTTACCCCACCCTCTTTGTGTATTCCTGGGGTTTGCTTTGGTTTTGTTTTTGGGTATACAGATGTTTGAGGTAGTGAGTGATTGTAATAAAAGGTGATTGCAACTAGATGTCAGGGCTAAAGAATCTTGGAGAGCTCAGCTGTGGCTCCACTACCTCTCTGTTCTCTCCCCCATTCCTAATGTCTCTCATGCT